TGCAAAACATTCCACCACACTTACAACTAAACCCTACTAATCCCACCTTCTTCTTACAACACTTGCACCTTTCTGTCTTCGTCTTCATCGTCAAACAATCGTCATTTCCAGTTTTAACAGTATCATCAACAGTAAGAAAATATAACTTTTCAGATAAAGCTATTGCACTCTTGGCGGATTCTTTTTTCAAGAAAGCTTTATAGAATTGGGAACAAATGTTGTAATTGCTTGGGTTATCATAGAAGCCGCAACCCCTTGCGCATAAGCTTGAGTTTTCTGCTTTGTCACAAGAAGCCATTCTTTTCCCTTTGAAAGAATTAATTTTCTTCTAGTAGATTGAAGCAACTTATCACGTGTAGTAATAGTGTTTGTGTTTCCCCAATTTGAACACGGGAAATATCTTGTTTGAGGAAAGTCGTTCACCCGTCTCAAGCCTTCTTCAATTTCATTTTTAATTATTGTTTTTCTAAAATAAAATGCCCCCACAGACAAAAAAAGGAGAAACTAATATAGGAAAATGAGATCGTTGTAGCTTCATTCACCATGTACTCGTAAATAGTATATATGACCTAAATAAAAATATTCTCAAACGGAAACTGCAACTTTACATTATTTGGTATTAATCAAAACAAAAGCAATAGACTTAAAATTGAATGCCTTAGATCCTATACTCAAGTTTATCAGCTTTGCAAAGAGGATTTTCCTTAGCCAAAAGCGCACGTTCCATAGATTTGAAATTGAATGTGCATGCATGTTCCTCTGGGGGCCTATGAATCTTGCAAAACATTCCACCACACTTACAACTAAACCCTACTAATCCCACCTTCTTCTTACAACTCTTGCACCTTTCTGTCTTCGTCTTCATCGTCAAACAATCGTCATTTCCAGTTTTAACAGTATCATCAACAGTAAGAAAATATAACTTTTCAGATAAAGCTATTGCACTCTTGGCGGATTCTTTTTTCAAGAAAGCTTTATAGAATTGGGAACAAATATTGTAATTGCTTGGGTTATCATAGAAGCCGCAACCCCTTACGCATAAACTTGAGTTTTCTGCTTTGTCATAAGAAGTCATTCTTTTCCCTTTGAAAGAATTAATTTTCTTTTAGTAGATTGAAGCAACTTATTACTTGTAGTTATAGTGTTTGTGTTTCCCTATTTTGAACACGGGAAATATCTTGTTTGAGGAAAGTCGTTCTCCCGTCTCAAGCCTTCTTCAATTTCGTTTTCAATTATTGTTTTCCTAAAATAAAATGCCCCCACAGACAAAAAAAAGAGAAACTAATATAGGAAAATGAGATCGTTGTAGCTTCATTCACCATGTACTCGTAAATAGTATATATGACCTTAATAAAAATGTTCTCAAACGGAGTCTGCAACTTTTGCACTATTTGGTATTAATCAAAACAAAAGCACTAGACTTAAAATTGAATGCCTTAGATTATATACTCAAGTTTATCAGCTTTGCAAAGAGGATTTTCCTTAGCCAAAAGCGCACGTCCCATAGACTTGAAATTGAATGTGCATGCATGTTCCTCTGGGTACCTATGAATCCTGCAAAACATTCCACCACAGTTACAACTAAACCCTACTAATCCCACCTTCTTCTTACAAATCTTGCACCTTTCTGTCTTCGTCTTCATCGTCAAACCATCGTCGTTTCCAGTTTTAACAGTATCATCAACAGTATGAAAATATAACTTTTCAGATAAAACTATTGCACTCTTGGCGGATTCTTCTTTCAAGAAAGCTTTATGGAATTGGGAACAAATGTTATTAATGCCTTGGTTACTATAGAAGCCGCAACCCCTTGCGCATAAACTTGAGTTTTCTGCTTTGTCACAAGAAGTCATTCTTTTCCCTTTGAAAAAATTAATTTTCTTCTAATAGATTGAAGCAACTTATCACTTATAGTAATAGTGTTTGTGTTTCCCCAATTTGAACACGGGAAATATCTTGTTTGAGGAAAGTCGTTCTTCCGTCTCAAGCCTTCTTTAATTTTATTTTCAATTATTGTTTTCCTAAAATAAAATGCCCCCACAGACAAAAAAAGGAGAAACTAATATAGGAAAATGAGATCGTTGTAGCTTCATTCACCATGTACTCGTAAATAGTATATATGACCTTAATAAAAATATTCTCAAACGGAAACTGCAACTTTACATTATTTGGTGTTAATCAAAACAAAAGCAATAGACTTAAAATTGAATGCCTTAGATCCTATACTCAAGTTTATCAACTTTGCAAATAGGATTTTCCTTAGCCAAAAGCGCACGTCCCATAGACTTGAAATTGAATGTGCATGCATGTTCCTCTGGGTACCTATGAATCCTGCAAAACATTCCACCACACTTACAACTAAACCCTACTAATCCCACCTTCTTCTTACAACTCTTGCACCTTTCTGTCTTCGTCTTCATCGTCAAACCATCGTCGTTTCCAGTTTTAACAGTATCATCAACAGTAAGAAAATATAACTTTTCAGATAAAGCTATTGCACTCTTGGCGGATTCTTCTTTCAAGAAAGCTTTATAGAATTGGGAATAAATATTGTGGTTGCTTGGGTTACCATAGAAGCCGCAACCCCTTGTGCATAAACTTGAGTTTTCTGCTTTGTCACAAGAAGTTATTCTTTTCCCTTTGAAAGAATTAATTTTCTTTTAATAGATTGAAGCAACTTATCACTTGTAG